TATATACGCTGTTCGCGTTACGTAATAATCCGTTTTTGTTACAGACACAGTCTCTCTCTAGTATCTCTCATTAATCGTGCTCTCTCGCATACTTTTTTATAAGTGTTATCTTATTCTAATTAGTCTTAGAAGCAAAGGTTTACACTTTACACAGCATTGAAAGGAATCTGGTTGCGTCAGTGTTGGTACTTCTATGTTTGATTGGCTGAAATTACAAAAACTATTATTATAAGTAAAAAATATCTTTAATTTTTCTTTATTCCAATGCAGTTTCCTGTTAATTGAGTGTTTATTTAACCAAACATGGATTTGCGATCTCTAATTTTGTAATTTCTGATTTTATCGTATTGCATTATATCTTTAGGTCTAGAGACTATAGTGAGCTTTTTGTTCACCAATGTAAAATTTTCTTATTTATAGTATATTACGCTGTATACTGCCCGGGTTGCTCTCAGGGGTCGGGTAAAGGGGGTGTGTGGCCGAATGAAATATATATAATATTTCAGAAATCTGCCTAAGGCTTACCCCGATCCTGTCGTGTTAAGCCATACCCAAAATTCCAAACACACGTGCTTTGATTAAGGCTTGATTAAGGTTTGCGGAGCTTCAGCATTTGCCATCAAATATAGCGAGCAATTTGTTAGAAAACCTTATAAATTATATATCACTGTAATTACAAAACTTCAATCTATTTCCGTATTGTAACGGAATTTTAAATTGTGTCTTTATTTTCGAGAAAATTTAGTCCAAACATAAGGAATATTTTATTGATGTTTGACCATCAAAATCTTAAAAACAAAGAAGGTGTCTAAAAATGTGCTGATATAGTATACTCCTTTATCTTTAATTTCCTTCTTCATTTGCATAAAAATACCTGGCTAGTTTTACCTAAAACGTTAAATGCCGAACGCTTATTTTGCTACTTTTTCGGACTAGTGAAATGGACTCTTAAAGTCCCTTCCTGTCATCACTTGCATGAAATAATTAAACAATGCTGATTAATAGGTCCAGAACCCTTTTGTGCTGCAAAAGCGGTTACAAAAAGGCATTTAAAGTTGATGAGATTGGCGGACAAAGCCATGATCATATTTTTTCAGAAGGAACGACAGAAAACTTTCTATATCAGTATGATAGCCTAGTAGATATGCTGTTCTTTTTATTTTGTGCCATTGGCGAAGAGCTATATGGAAGGATCAAAGTTATAGACTTTTTGAGAAGGATACTACTCGAGAATTAAATCTAGAGATATGAAGGGGATCATCTTTATGATAATATCCAGAAACCTAGATATGTTTACAAACTCCATTATAACATTTAACACAAAGATTTTTTTTTTCTGGCTCATAGAAAGAGTAGATAAATTTAAGTACTTGGGCATCAGGTTCCCCGAAGATTGCACATCAGACAAGGAAATTAAATGTCACATCAAAGAAGCTCAGCAGGCATTCTTGAGGTTTCGAAGAGCACTTGTCTGTTCCGATTTTGACCTGAACCTTAGATTAAGATTTGTTAAGTGCTACGTGTGGTCGGTGCTCCTTTATGGTATGGAAAGTTGGATATTGAAGGCAACTGCCATTAACAAACTAAAGGCTTTCGAGATGTGGCTGTATCGCAGGATTCTAAAGATACCTTGGATGGCTAAGTTAATAAATGAAGAAGTTCTAAGACGTGTTGACAAACAGCGTGAGTTGTTTGAATTTATTAAAAAGAAAAAAAAAACGCGTACCTGGGGCACATAATGAGAAACCCCAAATATCAGTTCTTAAATCTGTCTATCGAAGGCCGGAGGGGTATCAGAAACTAGAAAATGTCTTAGCTGAAGAATGATAGACAGTGGACAGGACTACACGATGTAAATTCGTTATTACACACCGCCAGGAACAGAGAAGCAGTGGAAAATGTTATCACTAACATCCATTAATGTATTTGCATTAGAACAAGAAGAAGAAGAGGACCACAATCGATCTGTAAAGGTTAATACTGTTTTTCTTTCTTTTTTGAATTCTTGAAATTTTAGGAAAATTAGAAGAAATATGAGAAGGCTGACAAAGCCAACAAGAAGATGGTTTAAAAAACCAAATGCGGCCATTCCATCCGGCAACGTGCTTACTAATAAAACATTTAATTGGTCTCCATATGAATAAAAATAGTCACTAACCATGAAAATCACAAAAATACTTAGTTTACCAAAATATAACGCTATTCTACCGAGTGTTCGATGTAGGTTAGATCCATTTATTTTCTTGTGCAATAGAGTCGCTGTCTAGCCTGAATTTAGATCCGATTAAAAATCACACACGATCTGTCAAGAAAATTCGGAAAAGTAGGTCGCGTACGCGATAAACGGCGCGACGGTATTTATTGCACTTTTCACGAATCCCGTTTATTTTCCCCTTTTTTTCGCGACCCAAATATTCACGACTGTGTATTTTTGGAGCGTCTTAAATCAAAAGACCAGCCTGCAAAATGCATTTGCGTCATTTTTTGATGACAGTACGTACACTCATTCCTAATATGTGAGTAAAGTCGTGTAGCTGTACTGTACCATTTAATAGTAATTATGCCTGGTCAGCTTCACGTGTAGTTTGTATTGTTTACGTTCTTCTCCAGACAGATGAAATACATTTATAACTATCGGGTGTTCCACGTATAACAACTAATACCACAAAATTCTCAAATGAAATTCTCATTTCCTCTTTTAAATGATATTGGTTACTGCAACAAAAGATGTTATCTTAAAAGCTGTATTCCTTTAGGGAGGTTTGAAAATTTATATGACAATTTGTTTCTATCGTATCTAGAAGTATGAAATTTTGCACAAAAGTTATTGAAACGACATCATTAATGGCGAATTTCCTTACTTTCTGCCATTACTCGCTGACGAGTATTTGCCACGCATCAGAAGATTTGTTACACAAGGCGTTTCCTTTCCTGAGCTTTTCTGTGACTGAAAAGCCCGATGCGTGATGTTATCTCTCTTCTGCACTCCTGACATTCAAACATCTCATTACTTTGTTGCCTCTACTTTTTGGTTGTCGTTTTTAACTGAATTTACAATTCGTCTCCATTGTGTTCTATTGTGCGCTACTTCCACCCACTGAATCCCACTTCCTCCCTTCCAATCCCCTTTAAGTTTTCATGGAAAATATCCTTGTATTTTTTGAATTGTCCACACTGTTTTCTCTTACTACAAGCTCACCGTAAAGAAGATATTTCGGTACGCGGTTTTCTTTCATCCTGCATACGTGGCGAGCTCATCTTAAGCGGGATTTAGTAATCATGACTTCAGCGCTCTCGCAGCTAGTTTTTTTAAGGACTGATACGTTTGAGATATGGTTACGTACGGCACCCAGGTTTCGCTTCCATATAACATGGTGGGGAATATTATTGCTCGGTATTCTGGCGAATTTTCACCAAACAGGTGTGTCGAAAAGGAAGAACAATTTGGAGATTTCGGTTGCTCAGCCACAACGAAAAGTCTCGTCGCCCATCCCATGGTTTCCGTGTTATGACTGTATTTTTGTAAACAAATAGTTCCTTTGGTGGTAACGTCACTTAACATTAAATCCAGTATTTTGTATCGGTATTCTGTGCATGCATTTAATCAATCGGAACAATTAATAAGTTTTCAAATTCGTCAATAAAATGAAAGAAATATGAAAGAATGATCTCCATTGTACCAGTTTCATAATTGAATCGTCGTTTTAAAGATGAATTCTCTTTTGCGGTTTTGCTTTTTACACTAAATATTTTGGTCTATAAAAAAACATATTTTGGTCTATAAAAAAACACACACACCATAATAAATAAATAGTCAAGGGAAGAACGCATGGTCAAAATTGTTCGTCTAGTTCTCTAGTTGAAACTACAGAAAACACTTACCAAAAAAAAAGACGCGGTTTCGCTTCTTTCTGTGTAATTCGAGCTTGTTTTCGATTATTTCCAGTTTGTTTCTCCAAAAATTACTTAAAAATTCTTTACGTTTGAGTCTAGAAACATGAAATGGTGACTTTATTAGGGCAATAAAAACATTCTTCTCTTTAAAGGGTAAAATGTAGAATGAGTAAGAGGGGGGTTAATCACCGCAAACTTTCAGACCTATTGTGTTCCCCTTTCTAGAGTTATAACTCATCATACAGTCCCAGGGCTTTGATAAAAGCCAGTATCTGGGACGGTTTTACAGAGGGTAGTTTTCCATTTCCAATATCAACCGTACCAAAGTTCATGGCACGAATGGTTGTCGTCTCGGCGCACTCAGTGATGAGGTGCTTTGGAGTTTCCCCATTTTCCCACAGAATTATCTGCATTCTCCGTTTTTTTCTTAGCTTCAATCTACTGAGGTGTTTATTGAGGACACAGTATCCCATTAAAACACCGAAGACTGTTCTTACTTAAATGAAGGAAAATCTTTGATATTTCTTGGTCGTAAATCCTCACAAACTTTAGAGGGTAAAATGAGATATGAGAAATATTTTATAATTTATTACATTTGAGTCTAGAACCATGAAATATTACTAAGCACTAGAACTTTTCTATGCGGACGAAGTCGCTGGCAGAATCTAGCTTCCCATAAAATAATGTATCTAGGTATTTCGTTTCCCTGTGAACGTTTTTCAATTGTATTTGCATCTTGGCCAAGAAGAACTATTGTATCGTGCATCTGTGTGCTAATTGCGAGAAGAGGAAAAGAAATAATAATATTCACCTTCCAATGGCCGCGGGTCGCGACAATAACAACAATTACTAGCTGCGTTGCAACGTTGCCAAGTGGGTCAAGGAAACGGAACGTTTCCGGACCGAATTCTATAGTCGTTCTTGCGAAAGTGTTTTTCGTATCATTTTCATCCGTCCCACGGCAAAGCATTTGCTACTGAAGTCGTACGAGGAATAATGAGATGTATTTTTTTCTTCGAAAGCAATAATTTTTTCTTTAAGATATTTTATTTGCATTAGGATCCATTACGTTCATGTTATTACAGTTTCCTTTTCTTTTTTTGCAGTTGATAAGGAGCAGAACAACTATTTACACCAATTACTGTCCAGACAACGGAACGATTTACAGCATCCGTCGCTGTGCGACTACGCTCGAAGAAAGGCCGTATATCCTACATCAACAGGTAATTCGAAACATAATTATTATATAGGGTGATATAACCTGACTATACGATATAAGACTAAAAAATGTCTATACCTATGTGGCGGATTCATCTCTCCAAAAAATCCTATATGGGTTTATTTCGCCACTGCAAAAAAATCTACAAAATAAAATAGTTATTTTTTGTAAACGTTGCTACGTTAAACCAAACAGAAACTACTTTTAGGTTTACAGATATACCAATTTGCCTAACGAACAAAAAATGCTTAACGTTTCGGAAAGTTTATCTCTTTCCGTCGTCGGAAGCAAAAAAATACAAAGAATAAAGAAAAAAACTATTTAAAATATCTAAATTCAACTATTCGAGAACTTTAGTTTTTTAAAACAGCTACGTCTATACAAAGAAGCGATTGCCATACATTATTAACATCTACAGATGCATGCGCAATACATGCATTTTTATTGGATTGTATTAAAAAGCCTCTTTTATTTTTCTTTTAGAGGCTATCGCTTCTTTCATTATAATTGTGGCGTTATTAAAAGACTGATATAAGTCTGATTTAACAAAGATCAACGCCAACAAGAACAAGCCTCAAAAATTAAAACCAAATTATTTTCAATATGCCAGATGCCATATTTATCACCACATAATCGAATTATTTTAGTAAATATCTTCATAAATATTACAAATAAAAAATGTGATAAAAATATTTTCAAAACCCCTTAAAAATGCCGATACTTTTAAATTACTTTTAGCCAGTGTTTTTCCCATTTTCTTTGTTTAATTCACCGGTAAAAAAGTTACTTTATATTGTTGCCTATCTAAAGATATTTAGTACGTACATTTAAAGCAGAGCTTCCCAATTTTTTTTCTCGTAAACCACTTTCAAAATTTTACTGGTTTTAATGAACACTCTGCTGTTACATTACTATGATATTCCCAAAACTCGTCAAAAAATGTGAAAATTAAATCTACCCATGGAAACTTGCATCGTGCCGTGGACTTTTGGGGTCCACATGGACCATTTTGGTAATCCCTGATTAAAGCATGCTTTATCTCTCCAGTATACAACCCACCGCATTCATAAGCACCTGGTATAAGACTTTTTTGAAGAGATGAATCCATCACAGAAGTATAGACATTGTTTATAACTACCTGGTTACTCTTTCTCTTGTTTTGATGTTCCCGGTTTTGTTCTTGTTAAGAAACTTCTTAGTGGAGTTCCTTAAATCACTCTGATGCCAATAAATCACAAATCAGTAGACAATGTAGAAGCAATCCAGTTGAAATCAGCATAATATTGAAAATTAAAAACACGAAACATGCCAATTAATTCTACCAGTCGAAATCTAATTTCTTTGACGAAACTTCACTATGACCCTTTTGAAAACTATCCCAAATAAACCCCGACAAGCTTAAAAAATAGGGTTCTATCAAAGACCTGATTATTTAATATTTTTCTAGCTTGATTCTAGATTATGAGAACGGACAAAAACTGGACATTGTCCACTGTGCCATCCGGTCACTCATTCCAATACAGCCGGTTTCTAGAAACTTATTTTTACCTCGGAACATGTCGGTATATTGAGTGTGGGAAATACTAAACTACACCGACAAAAAATATAAAGAAACGAATTAAACTATTAAGAGGAGCTAGCCAGCTAGCTGTATGAGGGTTTATTTAAATCTGGTAAATGTGGAAGAACAAGTTTGAAAGGAATAGCCAGTGGTCAAGCTTTTATTCCCTTTCTCGATTTAAGAAGGAACTTTTTTCGGTGGACATCGACGGTTAGAGTACTGTGGTGGTCAGTTGGTTGTAAATCGGGAAAATGGGGTGTAATGGGTGTAATTGGATATGTTAGGTAAAAGGGGTTGTTAACAATGGGGGTTAGGAAAAAATGTTTTAACGAATTTTCTTTTTTTATATTAATTTTGTATACTATATACCTATTAAAAATGCTAGCTCCAAAGTTCTTGGCTTTAGTCTACTATGGTGGTCAGTGAGGAGACAGTATCGTGAGAAATTTCTTCAAGTGTCTTAGACAGTATCGTGAGAAATTTCTTCAAGTGTCTTAGACCGTTGGAGAATTTCCATTCCGGGTTACGGATGGAGTCTTCCAAGTTCTTGATTTCTGCATTAAGTTGGTTTTCACTTCCAGTTAGTGGAGTATTCGATCCTTTTCTAGCTATATCTTTCGCTTTTTCACTACCTTCTATTCTTTGGTGGGCTGACACTCAGAGCAGAAGGATTTTATTTTCTTTGTCTAATTTGGCTCAAGAGCTTTTTATTAGAATCAGCACGAAACATTTTACATAGGAAAAACGGAAAAATTTTACATAGGAAGTTATATAACTATGCGAAACATGATATAGTTGTGAAAATCAGAAAATAAGGAAAAGGTGACATAACACTTTTATTTGAAATTATACATGTTCTACCCCACTACCGTGTGCTGTTATATAGTCTGTCCAACGACAATATCCATGACAGTGATATATGTGTCTGCCATTTTAATTTCAAAGTAGTTTGTTGGTGCAGTTGGAATGCATAACAGGAAATTAATATATTTAAAATTTGACTGATAAGTGATTACTTCAAAATATTGTGAAAAAAACTGTATAAAACTGAAAAAATATAATCGAGTTATTTTAAAAAAACGGTATGTATTAATATAAAACAAACAAGAACAAAACACCATATACCAAAAAAAATATAAAAAAAAACTATTTCTTACTTTCAAGCTTCAAGAAACTTCCCGCATTTATTACTATATTTATCAATATAACTTATGTACAAATACAAATATTAGACATAAGTTGACACAAAATTATAACCTATAATTTGGCAAGACTTTGACAAGCCTCAACAATATAAAGGCGTGTTCATACGCATCGGCGTCCGTTTGTCGTTCATCTTTCCGTCAAACCAATAAAATTGAGATATGATCTGTCATTTTTGAAATAAACCAATAAAACTGGTTAAAAACAACAAGAGACGACGTATAACGGATTTATATTTAAACCCATCCATAGTTAAATTAAAAAATATTAGAAACTTTTTTAGTAAAATAAATAGATTGGTATGGGACGTCATCTGCTTTTCTTCTGTCATCGTCTGTCGAAATCTTACCTGAAAAAAAAACAGAGTATATAAATAAAAATAATATGTAGTAATTGATAAAATATGACGTCCACCTTGATTTAAAGTTTATATTTTTATCATATATATTATTAATAGCATTTAAATGGGGTAATAAAAAATCGAAAAAAATGTAATTCCTTGCAGGAAATGCGTCAATGCATTGTATATAATTTTGTTGCATCGCCATGTTAAGACTGACCATTTCATATTATGCATATAGATTTTTAACAATGTTATTTAACATTAAGTAAATATTAAGCAACGGTAGGTGTTGAGTTTTTATATGAAAATATTTGAAAATATACATACATTTTTCAACCTCCACAGAAAAAAAATAATCTGTAAGTTTTTGATAGGTTAGAGTGCCTGCGTAATATACTTTCCCACAAATTTTTCTTTTTAATTACAAATCAAAATGATTTCTGAGAAATGCTTCAGAAATATTGACATTTTTGATAATATTTTTGAAAAAAAGATTAACATTTTCTTACGTCTAGTTGTTGCCAAGAAACGGTAAATAACTTTAAGGAAATATTGATCTTTGTAAATGTCACCCATAGATAAATGCAACAAGTTTAGATTGGAAAGCCCGTAAAAATTTTAGGGCGCGAAATTATTTTGGGTCGCGACCGTTATACGCGATCTGGCGCTGCTATCGCTAAGAACGCTAAGAACAACGGCCTAACAAAAACAGAAATAATTTTCTCTTGTCAAAGTCAGAATCATCAAAAATCATGATAATCTTTCAAAATCTTAAACCTCTCTCATTAAAGAAATTCCGAAAAGTGTTTATAGCGTCCATTTTCAAAGTAATTATTGCTATCTTGTGAGTTTAATTCAAGTTTTATTTACTCCAATCGGGGATAATTGTGAAAAAGTGGCATTAAAAACTTAAAAAGATGTGCTGTGAACTGTGAACTGCAAAAACCATCGTGGATCGTGGCATAACTTCGGTTTCCAGTGTTTCATAGGTATTTCATACATGCGTCCTTATATAAAATAAAGTTTCTTGTATGCAACACACTGTATTTTATTTATAAAATTAAACGAAAATCATAATAAATTTGAATAAACAATATTTGGCGATATAATTCCGGAAAAAGCCGAACTGCTCCGAAATTTTCAAAAGTTTTGGGTCGCGACCGTTGCAAGAATAGCGACAAATAGTGTTTATATTGTCCTTATGGGCACTTTGCAATCTAAACTTGTTTCATTTATCTATGATGTCCACCATTCATGTCTTTTCATTAATTCTTCCGTATTGCCTGTCTTATTTTTTACGTTAGTCGGGGAATATTTTCTTTTCCTACTAGATATACAACATACTATTTTTTGTGAATAATAACTATACAGGGTGAGTCTTACATAAGCGCAAATATTTTCAGGGCTTTTCAAAGAAACATTTTTTTCTTTACCGTTTTTCAAATATATAAAATAACCGAGTTACTCAAGTTTCAAAATTTAAAAAATTTGATTTATTTATAAAAAATTTTGAGAGCCGCCAGATTTTTTCTGTAATTGCGGTGAATAGGCGGTTATAAAAAGTTTTCTAAGTTATACAGGCAAACTTAAAAGAAAATGCACAATTTTCAATAAAAGATCGAACAATAAACATTGACTTATTTTGACACAATATACAAGGTCAGTTTTAAATAAGTGCAATTATTTTCAGGTCTGGTAAATCTCGATAAAAGAAACATATTTTCTTCAAATCTCTTCAAATAATAATTCAAAAATAACCGAGTTATTTTACTTTTAAAATTAAAAAAAATATATTAATCTACTACCTATGTTGCCATATTATTAAAAAATTATGGTTTTTAACTAAAAACTAAAAAAATTGGAAACTTTTTTAATTCAAAAATTCCAACTTTTCAAA